AACTACTTGATGCCCGATGGTTTTTGCATACTTGCATGGTTTTGGGAAGGCTCAGCTCTTCGGTCTTCCGGGCGTCCGAGACTGCCCAGGAGGCCAGAGCATCGCCCCAAGTTTCACCAAGAGGGCTTCCAGGCAGTCCAAGAGGAGCCCCGAGACGACCGGACAGGGCCCCAGGATGGCCCGAACAGAGCCCCATGACGGCCCAAGATGGCCCCAAGACGCCTCCCGAATCATTCCAAATCGTGACCTGGTCTTTCAGGGAGGCCGCGGTTCGAAGCAGGGTGGCCCGGGGAAGCCCCCAGTGGCCCCCAGAAGGCTCCCAGAAGGCCCCAACAAGCCCTTGAAAGCTTTCGTGAGACTTACAAGAGGCTCTCCTAGGATGAGCCTCCAAAAACAGAGCTGAGGATGGTGACGACTTCGTTGGGTAGGGCGAGAATGACGAAGATGAAGAGGAAACATGACGGAATGATAACGTACACAAGTATTTCAACGACGATGCCAGAAAAAGGTTACAATTTGTTGTCGCTAAGTGTTCCGGTGTACAATACTGTTTTCCTGCTTGCATGCCAAATTTGAAGGACCAAAGGGCATGGCGCGAAGCGCCAATGCAGTCTGGTATATGTTTATATGTATATATATGTATATGTGTATATGTATGTATGCATGTATGTATGTGTCTGTGTCTGTCTGTGTATGCGTATGTGTATGTGTATGTGTATGTGTATGTGTATGTGTATGTGTATGTGTATGTGTATGTGTATGTGTATGTGTATGTGTATGCGTGTATATATGTACACGTGTACATCTACCAGGTTGCATTGGCGCTTCGCGCCATGCACCTTGGTCCTTGAGGCGTTGCTTATGTTGGTTGTTCGCGCCAACCCTAGTGGCCTTGGAAATTTGGCCCCATCCCTGCGGTGATTGTCGGAAGTCTTCAACAATTCTGGCGGTCCGTGGCCCTTCCTGGGCCTCCAGGGGAACCCGAAACGCGCCGGGAAGAGGGAGAATGACAGGAGGGAGGGAATCTCGGGGAGCGAGGAGAGGGAAGTGGATGTGGAGCGGCGGAAAGAGGAGAAGGATGAGGAGGAGGAGGAGGAGGAGGAGGAGGAGTGAAAGAGATGGCGCCGTCGGGGGACGGCGAAGAATTTCGGTTGCGCCGCACCGAGGACCGCTGTCCAGAAGCCAACGGCTACCGTTGCATGTGTGCGTACACGCTTGCAAACATGCATGGCAGTGAGTGACGACCAAAGGCCACCGTAGGCACGCACATTGGCCCGCTCGTGGCGCAGGTGCCCCGGTACGCAATACGAAGAAATGGCAAGCCACGCGAATGAACACCAAGCAAACCGACGCAATGTCAAGCAACGCAGCAATGCACAACGCAATGCCAAGCCGAGGATGTCATGTTGCAGCGGGTCGCAACGGGGCATGCGACAGTAATTGATTCTTGGGGAATGCACCGAATCCCGGGTTCGCACCAGATTTCAGGGAAATGTGGTTGCGAACTCGGGATTCGGGCCAGCGTGGTTGAAAGCGCCGTGTGCACCCTGTTGGAGCCCTGGTGGGCCGGCTTGCGGCCCTCTCGAGCCGTCCTGGGGCCATCTTGGGCCGTGTTGGGGAGTTTGGGCCCCCTAGGGACCTTAGGGGGGGGCTACGTGGGCCCTCGCGGTGGCCTCCCATGGCTTTTTCGGGGGGGCTCCCGTGGCCTTCTTGGGCTTTTTTGGCGGGCCGCGTGGGGGCCCGGTGGGTTTTTTTGGGGCCCACGTGGGGCTTCCTTGGGCAATCTTGGGGCCATCCAGGCCGTCTATAGGCTCTCGTGGGGGTCACTTGGGCCGTCTTGGGGCGATAACGGAGGCCTTTTGGGCTGTTTTGGACGTTGTCCAAACCCGAACAGCGAATGTGCTTAAAATGCACGTTTCCCCAAGGGAATGGCTGAATTTCTGCGTTCTGGGAGTCCTCCTCAGGGTCTTGGGGGCCTCTGGAGGCCATCTGGGTTTTTGGGGGGGCGCTCTTGTGCTGTCTTGGGTCTGGTTTCTCTTCGGCCTCTCTGATCACCGTTCTGATCGCCAGGGGTCTGCTGGCAAGACCCGGCCAATCGCCCTGGGAGGTCCAGGACGAGCCGGGGGACCTTTGGCAAGGGTGTCCGAGGGTCCCAGAACCTCCGGATCTGGGGGTCTTGTTTTGGAGGGGTAGGGTGCGGAGGTTTTCCCACCCGGCTTGCAAAAATAGAGGGGGAGGGATATATATATATATATATATGTATATATATATATACATATGTATAGCGAGAGAGGCCTCCTCCCATCTCCCAGCTGCCCCGACTCGCCATAGTGGCGCCGGGCTCCCCGGGCATCCTCTCCAGTGGCCCGAGAGCCGCCCAGACGGCCCTAAGTGGTACCGCGCATACACCAGAAGGCTTCCAGGTGTCCCGCGGGGCTTCCAGGCAACCCTAGATAGTTTCAAAACGGCCCAAGAGAACTCGACGAGCGCTCCCCAGAGGGCCCCAATACTGATTGGGCCCAAGGCCCCCAAGAGAGTCCCAAGATGGCCCAAGAGGGGCCCAAGACGGCCCAAGGGGGCCCCACGACGGCCCCAAGAGGGGCCCACGAGCAGGAGCCCGAAAGGACACTTCTAGCCTTCCGTCCCAAGATGCCCCCAGACGGCCCAAGAGGATTCGACGAGCGCTCCCCAAAGGGCCCCAAGAGGCAAAAACCGTTGATTTGCCATAGGCTTTTCATGTTTTCGGGACCCTCGACTTTTCCAGCTTCAGCGCTCCGCGACGTCCCAAGGGGCCCCCAAGACCGTCCCGAGGGGGGCCATGATACCCCCAAGAGTGCCCAACGACGGTCCAAGAGGGCCCCAAGCGGTTTTGAAGGCGCCCAAGACGCTCCAAGACGATCCCAAGAAGGGCCCGAGCGCAGGAGCCCAAAGCGATACTTTGAGTTTTCGTATTCAGATGCCCCCAGGCGGCCCAAAAGGAATCGATGAGCGCTCACTAGACGACAGCAAGAGGCAACAAAAAACATGATTGTCCTTCATGGCTTCGATGTGATTTTCAAGATCTCGACTTTTCGAGCTTCTCGCGCCCCACGACGTCTCAAGAGGCCCCCAAGACCGCCCCAAGACGGCCCGAAAGGTCCCTTTGAGGGCCCCAAGACGGCCCAAGAGAACCCACCAAGAGGGCCCCAAGCCAAATACAAATTTCACACAAACCGCTTCTTCGTTAAGGACGGCGCTGTGTTAAATGTATGTTCAATTATTGGGGTTCTGGAGGCGCTCTGGGAGCTCCCTTGGCGCCCTTTTGGGCTGGGGGCCTGTGGGGGTTTCAGGAGAGCCCCTGGAGGCCCCTGGAGACCCTGGAGGCAGAGTCCGGAGACCCCCAAAGACCCCGAAGAAGCGAAACACGCGCCAGAACGTGCAATCCGCGGATCACGTCCACAGACGACGACCACCACCATCACGACGACCACCCCGACGATCCTCGCGACGGCGGCGGCGGCGGCTGCGGCGGCGGCGCCCGCGGGGGCGGCGGCGGCGGCGACGGCCTGGCGGCCTGGAGCCTCTGGAGCCCTCCTCGGCCACCTTGGCATTCACGTCACTCACCACCCACCAAACCACCCCAACCCAACCCGAAGGCTCAGATTTACCCTCGATTTCCAGTTGGGGGGGGGGTCGGGAAACGCGGGAAACATAGAAAAAACACGTGTGGAACCCTTACCCCCCCCAACCCGAAATTCGGGTCTTCGGGTTGGGTTGGGGTGGTCTGGTAGGTAGTCAGTCACGTGCGCAGCCTGGGAAACAGTCGGAGCCTTCCGGCGCGTCGCACGTCGATCTTGCACGGCTCGGCGGCCGCCCGCCGAACCCTGCTCGAGTTCCCCGGAGGCCCAGCACCTCCACGCGCCAAGGGCCGCCCTTGCCTGGGCATCCTGGGGCTCGTGGAGTAGCGCAAGGTCTACGAACAACGACTGCGCAGTCGGCTAGAGCCTAAGCGCGCGCCTAGCGCGCGCGCGCGCGTGGTTCTGGTATATACGCACGGTGCGGGGGGCGGACGCAGCCCAGTTTGGTATGAGAGAGAGAGAGAGCTGCTCTTGCCACGCAATGTTCGTGAAACCGTATCGGGCCCTTTGCTCTCTTTCCTCATCCGTCTCCTCCTCTTCCTCTCTGTCGTCCCCGTCCTTTGATTATCAGTTTGATCGTCCACGTCGTCCTCCCCGTTCGGATACTTGTATTTCTCCTCCTTTTCCTTCTCCCCTCCTGCAATCATATCAGGGTGGGCATGTACGGTAGGTTAGCGCGGCGACTCAGCGGCTGCGACTTTAGTGCGGGCGTTCAGGGCTGAACGCCGCCAGCAATTGGAATCGAACGATCTACGCTATAGGAAAACCGCCATCGTTCAAGGTTAAATCGTTCACGCGGTGCCAGAAACTAGCGCCTGGGCATATGAAGGAGGCGGGATAGGGAGCGGAGTGGTCAGGTTTCGGGCTGCAGAGACAACCCCCCAAGTAGTCCCGGCTGGCCTCAACATGCGCCCTGCGTAGCCCAGGGCGGTCTCAACACCTCAACCTTGTGGCTCGGAACGCCCCAGGGGCGACGCCTGAGGCGGCGCTAGGGTCTTGAGACCGCCACGGGCTACTCGAGGGGCCTGTTGAGGCCAACCAGGATTGCCTGGGGGGGGCTGTCCGTACGTAACCCGTAGGAGAAGAAGGAGGAGGAGGAGGAGGAGGAGGAGGAGAAAGGAGGGGGAGGAGAGGAGGGAGGAGGGGGAGAGGGAGGAGGAGGAGGAGGAGGAGGAGGAGGGAGGAGGAGGAGGAGGGAGGAGGAGGGGGAGGAGGAGAAGAGGAGGAGGGGAGGGGAGGGGGAGGAGGAGGAGGAGGAGGAGGAGGAGAGGAGGAGGAGGAGGAGGAGGAGCTTGTTGAGGCCAACCAGGATTGCCTGGGGGGACTGTCTGCACGCACCCCGAAGCCTCACCCATGGCGGGGTTGTTTCTCCTCGGCACGCAGGCCAAGCTCGACGACGACGCGGGCGCCAGGGCACTCCTGGAGCAGCAGCTGCTGGAGATGCAAAACGAGGCCTCCTCCTTCGGCTCCACGTCGCCGTCCGCGTCGCTCCTGTCCTGGCAAGTATGAGTCTCGATCCTCGAGGATCGAGGAAATTTATTGTCCTGCATGTCTTCTGAGGTTTCTTCAGCGCTTCTGGCCCTTTTTGGGTTTCCTGAGGCCTCCAGAAGCCCATGGGGATCTCAGGGAACGACGTGGGGCCTCCGATGGTCAGCATCCCTACCTCCCCTCGTAGAACGACCAACCGCATGCATGTGTGAGCCACGCAGCTCTGAGAGTCGTCTTCGGTGGAGCTCCCTGTGGAGACGTGTGATGGGTGTGCCGACATGGGTCGGGCGGACGCATGTGGACCTTCCCACTGGGGCCTTCGGTGGAATTTCCTATGGGGCCACGAAGCGTGTGAGGGGTGTGCCGACATGGGTCGGGCGGACGCATGTGGGCCCTCCCACTGGGGCCTTCGGTTGAGCTCCTTATGGGGCCACGTAACGTGTGACGGGTGTGCCGAAGTGGGCCGTGCGGACGCATGTGGACCCAGCCACTGGGGCCTTCGGTGGAGCCCCCTATGGGCCACGACACGTGTGAGGGTGTGCCGAAAAGGGTCGTGCGGGCGCATGCGGACCCTGCCACTGGCGCCTTAGGTGGAGTTCAGGGGTGCGCCGAACTGGTAGAAATGCGGAGGGCAGAGGCAGGGATGGGAGGAAGGAGAAGGGCAGCGGGAGGGAGACGCGGGGCGGTGTTTATTCGAAATGAGGACCCACAACCACCCAACACCACATAACACATACACACGTAGCACCCCGCAGTTGCGGATCAGAGTGACGGGCGCGGCGGGGACGTCGGCAGTCTGCGAGGCTCTGAAGAAGCCCGCCGCAGGCGCCTAACTCTCAAATTATACCACGGGCCCGCCGCAGGCGCTGATTTTTACGTTAAAGTGCTGTGGATGGGTCGCGTGTGGGTCGCGGGTCGCAAATGGGTCACGGGCGGTTCGCGGGCCCTGTCGCGAGTGGGTCGCGGGTGGGTCGCGAATGGGTCGCGGGCGGGTCGCGGGCGGGTCGCGGGCAGGGTCACGGGTAGGTCGCGGGTTGGTCGCGGGAGGGTCGCGGGGTGGGTCGTGGGTGGGTCGCGGGTGGGTCGCGGGTAGGTCACGGGTGGGTCGCGGGTGGGGCGACGGCAACGAACAATAAACAGCGCAACAACAACAGCAACAGCAACAACAACACCAGCAATCATGTTACGACTGTTCGCTCCTATCTGCTCGCGTGCCAGCCAACACGTATATCCCAAGCCCTCGATACCCGCCCTCTTCTTGGATCGTACCCCCTTAGGGGTAAATCTTTCTTACTTGAAGCGCGTATTTCGCGCAGCCCCTAAGACACGGGAAGAGCAGGCGGATGGAAGGAAAGGACATTGGGGGAGGGAGGAGGATGGAGCACGAGAGAGAGAATAGCAGCAGGGGGGCCGGGAGCAGAAAACACGTGGCAGAAACAGACGGGCAGATCGGGCGGGTAGACCCTAACAGGCGGATTGGGAAGGCGGGCACAGGTGGCCAGGTAGAGCAGGCGGGTTGCTGAAGCGTGCGTCCTGCATGAATCGCGAGGAAGTCGCGAGCGATAGCGCGATCCCCAAGTAAACCGCAAGGCAATGCATAACGAAAGCGTGATTCCTGAGTGTCGAGGGGGCGGCGTTTAAATAAATTGCGAGGAAGTCCCACGCGAGAGCGCGATCCCTGTACAATTTGTCAGGGCGTCCCGCGCGAGAGCACAATTTGGGAATAACTTGTGAGGAAGTATCAGACGGGAGCCGCTGTTGTTGTAAACAGGGAGCCAGGGGCACAGTTTGGTGACACTTCGCTTTCCCTGGTAAAAGAACAGGGTGCGATTGCGAACCCCGGGAAAAGCAATCTATTTGAAACATAGAATGGTTACCGGAGGGGGTATCAACAGCATCTGTTCTTTTGAACTGAGAGTTCAACAACAACAACAACAACAACAGCAACAACAACAACAATATCAATCATGTTCAGACTGTTTGCTCTTGCCTGCCCGCGTGCCACCCAACACGTATATCCCAAACCGCCGGTACCCGCTCTCTTCGTCTTCGATCGTGCCCCCTGGGGGTATATCTTCCTTACCTGCCGCGCAAAATTGGTGGAGCCCCTGAAACGGGGGAGGAGAGGACGGATGGAAGGGGGAGGAAAATGGATGGAGCACGGGATTCGCAAGAGGGGGGGGGCTGGGAGCAGAAGGCACGTGGCAGAACCAAGCGGGCCCACCAGGCGGGTTAGACCCTAGCGGGCGGGTCGGGAAGGCGGGCCCAGGCGGCCAGGTCGAGCAGGCGGGCTGCTGAAGCGTGACTACTTGATGAATCGTGAAGAAGTTTCGAGCGACAGCGCGATTTCCCAAATAAAATGATAGAGAGGCGGCAAGAGCGAGAGCGTGATTCCCGAGCGTCGAGGGCGCGGAGTCGGAATAAACTGCGGGACGATCCCACGCGAGGAAGCGATTCCTGCATAACTTGTGAGGTACCCGCGCGGCAGCGCGATTTTTGAGCTATCTGTGAGGAAGTATCAGGCGGGAGCCGCTGTTGTTGTAGTTCGCGGCCTAACAACCCAGTTTGTTGACACCCCGCTTTCCCTTGCAAAAGTCAGGTTGCGAGCCCCAGGAGAAACATTTGATTTGAAAAACTACGATGGTAACCGGGCAGGGGGGGATCAACAACAATTATTGTGTTGGCCTCTGGCCAGTGCCGCCGATCCGGGGCGCTCCAGATAATGATGATGATGATGATGATGATGATGATGATGATGATGATGATGATGATGATGATGATGATGATGATGATGATGATGCAGGTGATGATTATGATGCTGCTGATGCTGCTGATTATGATGCTGATGCTGATTATGATGACGTTTACCATGGTAATGGCCATGGGGCCACCTTGCGCGTATTGGACCGATCGTTCGGTGATTTGGAACTTTCGCGGGCCGTCTTGAGGGCCTCTTGGGGCCCTGTGGGCCCATCTTGCCTTCTGTCGGGCTCGAGCAAGTCATGCGGGAACATTCTAGAGGCCCCAGAGGGTGCGCGGGGAGCCTCAAGAGATTTGGGAGTTTGGGGTCCAGGCCCATTAAGAATCCTCAGGCTTGAGGACTGAGGCTCATGGGATTGAGCAAAGGACTTGGGGAAGCCTCTTGGAGGTCGTTTTGGGGCCTCCAGGGGGCCTGAAAGAGGCCTCTTGGGGGCCTTTGGGGCCTCCTGGGGGCTTCTTGGGGGCCTGTGGACCCCCCCGCCCCCGAGCACTAAATGCGTCGGGAATGGCGTCCCCCCCCTTTTCCAGAGCCTCCTGGGGCTTTTTGTGGGCCTGTGGGTCCCCCCGCCCCCGAGCAATAAATGCATCGGGAATGGCGTCCCCCCCCCCTGCAGAGCGAAGCTTGAGCGAGCTCAAGTCCACACTCTCAGACATTTACACGCCGGATCGGCGGATCAGAAACTCACACGCCGGACCGGCGGATTCCTTAGACAGGGGGATTCAACAACAACAACAACAACAACCATTTTAAGGCTGTACGCTCTTACTTGCCCGCGAGTCATTCAACACGTATACCCTACACCCTCGATGCCCGCCCTCTTCGCCTTCGATCACACCCCTTTCGGGGGGATTATTTCTCTTTGCTGGGGCCGGCGGGCTTAGACGTACGGGCAAACCGGAACGGGCGGACAATCCTTCGGGGGCGTACATCTCTCTGCCCGCCATTGGAATTGGCGCGGGCCCTGCAAGAGGAGGAGGGGAAGAACGAGGGAGAGTGGGAGGAAGGGGAGGGGGAAGGACGAAGGAAGAGGGAAGATACCACGTTGTGAAGGCGTCCTTGGCGCGTGCGTGGTTCCTGAGCGCCGAAACGCAATTCCAGAATAATTTGTGAGGACGTCGCACGCGAGAGCGCAGTCCTGAGTACATTGTGAGGAAATCTCAAGCGGAAGCGGGGGCCCTGACTAAGTTGCGAGGATGTCTCAAGCGGGAGCGCCGTTCCTGAGCAAATCGCACGGAAGTCTCAGGCGGAGGCGGGGGTCCTCACTAAATTGTGAGGAAGTCTCAGGCGGGAGCGCCGTTCCTGAGTCAATTGCGCGGAAATGTCAGGCAGGAGCGGGGGTCCTGAGTAAAATTCGAAGAAGTCTTAGGCGGGAGCGCCGTTCCCACGTAAATTGCACGGAAGTCTCAGGCGGGAGCGGGGTCCTGATTACATTGCGAGGAAGTCTCAGACGGGAGCGCCTTTCCTGAGTAAATTGCGCGGAAGTCGCAGGCGGGAGCGGGGGTCCTGAGTAAAAATCGAGGAAGTCTCAGGCGGGAGCCGTTGTTGTTGTAGCCCGGGGGGCAGGGGCACAGTTTGAGCAAGAAGACTTTCTTTGAGAAAAAACAAGGTGCGAGCCCCAGGGGTGGCACTTCAATCGAAAAAATCAATGTGCACCGGTGGGGGGGGATCAACAATAATTATTCTTCAAGAGTGAGAGTTCAACAACAACAACAACAACAACAACAACAACAACAACAACAACAACAACAATAACAGCAACCATTAAGGGGGAGGAGGTAGAGGGAGGAGGAGCAGGAAGGTAAGAGCGTGAACGTGCGAGGAAGTCCTGGGCGAAAGCGCCGTTCCTGAAGGAAGTCTCGGGCGGGAGCGGGAGCCCACGACGGGCGGGCGATCCCCTGACGGGCGGGTCGGGCGGGCGGGATGCCTGAGTATGGCGAGAGCGCGATTATTAAGTAAATTGTAACGGCGTCCTTGGCGCAGCGTGTTTCCTGAGCGTCGAAAGCGCGAGTTCTGAATAAATTGCATGGAAGTCACAGGCGAGAGCGCAACTCCTGAATAAAATGTGAAGGGTTTTCTGGCGGGAGCGGTGGTCTTGATTAAATTGCGAGGACGTTTTGATTCAATTGCGAGACAGTCTCAAGCGGGAGCGCCGTTCCTGAGTAAATTGTGAGGAGGTCTCATATGGGAGCGGGGATCCTGACTA